TCACTTCGATAATATTTTTGTTGAGATTAAAAATCGTATAGATCTATTTCAGTGAAAATGTTTCAATTACGTGGAATAAATAGATAATTTGTGTAATTTTTAGTGTGAATGAATAAGTAATTTCTATGATGTATGAATTTTGACATTGAAAATTCAGTTTTGTGAGAAAATCTATGGGAATTATGAATTTCAGTTCAATTATTCCATTAACATGTCCGTGAAATTTCAACTATTTTCTAAAAGAACAGGAAACATATTTAAAATCTGGAAAAATTCAAAATACTACGATTTTTTGTTAAATAATTTATGCAAAATGAATTTTCCACGATAAAAATCATTCTTTTGAAATCGCATCGTCATCTCTTCCGTCAGTTTATCAGGAAAAAATTCTGTTAATTGCAAAAAGTTCAATAAAAATTACAAAAAAAACTGTAAAAAGCGAAGTAAAATTCAATAAAAAGTGTGAATTTGTTCCGTAAAAATTAACCACCCGTCTGATGACTGACCGCCGTGGGGACAAGTCATTCCGTGATTTTTCCCCAACGATTGAAAAATTTTACGGAACGGAACGTAGAAATAACTCACCAGCTTCATAAAAATTGCTGAGCGTTCAAGAATTTTTGATTTTGGAGGCACAATAAGTCGGCAAGTTTCTGTAAGCTTTACTTCTTCGGAAAAAATTACGTGACACTTTCGTACTTTGTTCGGTGATGAACTTGAAAATTCCCTGAACATTTCAGATTTCTTCTCTTCCATTCCCATAAAAACTGCCGGAAAACGATTCCCCATCGCGGATTACGTGAATTGTTCCGTAATTCGTACTGAATATTCCTCTCCGTGTAGACTAATGACTTTAATTAATTCGTGCGTAATCGTTTATGCACTCAGCCTTATTCACCCTGACTTTTGATCAAACAGGAGAGGTGTTGATGGGCGAAGTAGCACTCTGGGGACGCGCAACTGGTTGCCAAAAGCCCCGGAGACGCATCCCCAGGGGTTTGTGTACGTGCCACGAGGGAAGACAAAATGAATCTCTTGGGTTAGCGTTTATGCGCCCACTAGCCACAAGGAAATTCAACAGCGATTGAAAATTCTAGGCACGCGAACGACTTCTGAAACGTCAATTACAGCTCGAGGCTCTCTGTCGCAATCCGTGAAACCGATACTATAATGTACAGTTCGATTATCACGTAGGGTAACCAGACGAATAGGCAGACACCGACTAAAATATGGACGATGTCAAGTTTTTTTAGTATTCTATAAAAAATATAATAGAAATTGTACTACAAATTTCCATTTTTGACAATAAAACTGACGTATAATATTATAACATGATGATTTTCTTATTTTTCATTGATGAAAATTTTGAACGTAAAGAAAAAAAATTCTCACGAGGTACTGCGCAGCAAAAGCGAATGTCTGAATTTCAAACATGAATTAAGATGTTTAGTCACCTGTTCGATATAAAACAACTTCACATTTCTTTCATCTTTAGTAAAATAGGACTAATTTTCGGGATAGAAATGAGGAAACGATGACTTTTATACAACGGTAGGATAATTTTTATCAAAAATTTCTCTCCGTGTAGTTAGACAACAGTCCCCTGGACTAATAAACACGGTATCTGTTCAATTATTATTATCGAAAAGGATCATTCAATAACTGGTTGGTAATCCATTTTGTCAACGACTAGTTGTTAAAATTCACTAGCTAGTTGTTGTTTGTTGTTGTTGTTTGGTGTTGTTTGGTTTTCAGTTTTTCTCAGCGGATTTTAGGAGAATTGAGAGCTGAGAGGGGTTTAACGAACACTGGAAACAAATATACGTGATATCCCGATGGCTTTCACCCCCTTCATAGACGATTAATCCAGTTTACGCGCAGGAGGCACCCTCTCCCGTGTATTTCGCGTAAGTCGAGAATCCGGACAAACGCCCCCGCGATGTATTCGATTACTGAGCTGCATGTTTTTTTTGTCTAGCAGGTTCGATGCACTTCGGGGAAGAGGAAAAGAGAAGGGAAGAAGGGTTGAATTGACAAGAAATCATTATTTAATTGTCGAGAGATTTGAATTTAATGGGAATTTCAATTATTTCAAAGAGAAAATTACAAAAAAAAGAAAATTTTAAGGGAATGTAAACGGGGAGAAGCGATTTCAGTCGATTTAACGTCGTACATCTGACATTTAGAATTCCATTCAATATTCAAGATTTCAAAAACTAATCTCTGAATTTCACATAGCTTTTGTAGACATTTTTCAGACACTAAAAAACGTCTGAGTAAAATGAAAATGTGTCTCAATTTCAGACGAACAGGTGTCCAACATCTTAATTCATGTTTGAAATTCAGACAAATTTTCATTTTATTCACACGTTTTTTAGTGTCTGAAAAATGTCTACAAAAGGTGTGCGAAATTCAGACATTCGTTTTTGCTGTGCATTTCACAACAGTGTCGTGTTTTCAGTTTTCCATTTTCGTAATATTGTCAATTACTGCGTCGATATTAGTTTTACAACATCAATTCCCGTTTAATCTAAATAATTCTCCTCTCACAAGATGAATAATCCATGATTGACGGTCTGAAAGTCGAAAAATGACTGTCCAAAAAAATGTGATGATAACCCCGAAGTATGTGATGACTCCAGTGACACGAAAAAAAGGAGGAAATTACACAAAAAAAAAAATTTTTAAGGAAAATAAGCGCGGAGAAGAGATTTTTAGACGATTTAATGTCGTATGGATCTGAAATTTAGAATTCCACTCAATAATCAAGATTTCAAAATTTTACATTTAATTTAATTTGAAGAATGTTTCCCATCGTCGTGTTTTCAGTTTTCCATTTTCGTAATTTAGTCAATCCTACAAGTAATCTTCTGGTTATTTTTTACTAACTAATTTTCTGTTTAAAAATTAATTTTCCCATCTCAGTGCACCGATATTAGTTTTACAACATCAATCCCCGTTCAATCTAAATAATTCTCCTCTCACAAGATGAATAATTCATGATTGACGGTCTGAAAGTCGAAAAATGACTGTCCAAAAAAATATGTGATGATAACCTCGAAGTATGGGATGACTCGAGTGACACGAAAAAAAGGGAGGAAAACCTAGGAAGGATGTGTACCGAGCGAGAGGGTGAGATTTAAGCCGGCAGGCTGCAGGAGGCGGCTAGAGTAGGCGATATAGAGGAATCGGGGGGTACGAGGCAAAAGCAGAAGGGAGACAGGCATCTCGCCCTTCTTTTGTCCCTGGGCCTCGGCCCGATATTGAAATGGAGTCGTTTGAGTGTGAATAATTTGCTTTGCCGTGGAGCACCCCTCTCCACCTTTTTCATCCGCCAGTCCCCCTGCCCTCCCCCCTCGCACTCATATATACAAATAAATATATGTGTATGTGGCGGTGGAGAGCTGAGGCTGAACTTTCTCGTCGATTTTTCGGCAAATCTCCAGCCAAAAAGAGATTCAACATTTTTTTTTCATTCGGGCGTTTTTTATTCTACGCCCTATGGATGGAAAATAAAATTGGTGAAGTTCTGAGAATGGCTAGTGGGAATCTAGACATTTTTGTATTTTTTAGCTCGAGGTTCAATATTTGCAATGCTGCGCACATTCGGAGGAGTCTGAATGCATCTTTGACTGTTTTGAGTCATAAAAAAATTTGGAATGCATGGAGAGAACCATCGTCGGTAATTTTAAGTAAAATATTCAGAGATTTTTAACAAGGATTTGGTCACATGTATTTCTCATGAATGAAACAAATCGAATTGGTACTTAAGAAATGGTTGAGGATATCCAACGAAATTTCAAAAAATGCCAACCGTGTCAGTATTTCTTTATAACCAACCTCGTGATAGCATGCAATTAATGACTAATTTAAATCAAGGCTCAAGCTTAATGGCAAACAGAACGTCATTAACATGATTAAGGATGTTCTACACCCTTTCTGCCAAAATTCACATTTTTTAAATTTTTCTGGCAAACTTATGATGGAATTGACGTGAAAAAATATAACGTTTTTGCGTTTTGTCATTATTTAATGACTGACGAAATTTTAAGGTGGTGCGAACATTTTCCTGCGTTTTCTCTAAACTTTTAAAAAGAATCACAAAACTGTAGAAAAAACGCATGAAAATTATCGCACCACTACGCAACTTCGTGAGCCATTAAAGAATGACAAACCACAAAATCGTGATATTTTTTCACGTCACTCCCATCGACAATTTGCCAGAAAAATGAAAACAACGTCAATTTTGGCTAAAAGGGTGTCGAACATCCTTAATACTACCATGACTATTACCCGATATCCAAAAAAAAACTGCCCTTGAAAAAACCCTCCAAGATGACCGGGCCATTCCCAAGAAAAAAAATATTGCAAAAACACTTCATAACCCATTCGTAACGTCTTCGGATGCTGGTCAGAATTGAGTTCACGTGAATTTATTATCGCGAATCGTCGCGCACGAATGATGAGGTATGGGTGTGACAGGAATTTGTAATGTCCATACCACAGTTCGGCTGGACGCTTTGGTATTCGAATGGTTGGCTGGTGACACGAGCGAGTGTCCGGGCCCGCTCGAAATAACAATCGATGCTGTAATCGCATCGTCCTTCACCGAGAGATAGGGTCATGCTGANGGGGGGGGGGGGGGGGGGGGGGGGGGGGGGGGGGGGGGGGGGGGGGGGGTTGGATTGATATACAAGGGGTCGGTTTGGGCTACCGCCAGTGTCACAGCGACTGATGTATTTCCGGATATTTTGAGACGATGAGGTGCCCGGAAATCGAGTGAATTTACATTCTCCCGCGATAGGGTATAAATTTTTTTATTTCCAATGACCACCGGATGTGCGTTGAATGAAACAAGGAGAAACGAAAATGCGATGAGCCAATCGCGAGACGTGTAACGACCTTCTGGGGCATTAGGCATTGTTGTTTTTAAGAGGGCCAATGTCATCGTGGCCAGTGCGGACTCTCGGACACGTATAAAAAGACGCTGCAGTGGAGGACTGGACATCAGTTCATTCGTGCCATTCAGTGAATCAACAATAGATATAAAAAAATGAAGGTAATTCATTCATCGATGAGATCGCATTTTTTCAAAAGCACGAAAATCATTGAATCATCTCTGCAGGTTCTCGTCAGTCTCAGCTTCCTCGTTGCGATGACCCTGGCGGAGCCCCCGAGTTATCGCCAGCAGTCCCAAGCCGACAGGACGTACTATTTCGCTAAACAGCAGGAGGAGTCGCAGGCAGATGCCCCGTATCAGGCATCGGGCTGGAAGCCAAATGGTCCTGCCTTCGAGCTCCCCCAGAAGCAGGAGGTTCAACCAGAAAATCAGTACGCCACTCCCGCCCCACCGGTAAACAGCTACGGAGTCCCGGCGATCCAACCTCAGAGACAATATGGCGCTCCGGCTCAACCTGAGAGACAATATGGCGCCCCGGCCCAGCCTCAGAGACAATATGGCGCCCCGGCCCAGCCTCAGAGACAATATGGCGCCCCGGCCCAGCCTCAGAGACAATATGGCGCCCCGGCCCAGCCTGAGAGACAATATGGCGTCCCGGCCCAGCCTCAGAGACAATATGGCGCCCCAGCAAAGCAATCGCTTCCGCGACCCCAACCTGAGAGACAATATGGCGCTCCTGCGGAAACCCAGAGACAGTTTGAACAGCCGCAGAACCAATACGGGGCACCAGCCTTTCCGGAACAGCAGTACGGAGCTCCCCAATCAGCTACCACTGATCCTTCAACCCCAGATTACGACGAGGCCACTATTCCCACAGGAACCGAATCTCAGGTAAAATTGGTATTTTTACGCACAGTCGAGCTTGTTGTCACTGGTATTGCCTCTGCACTTTGTCAGTTACACACTGGTTGAATTCAAATGAGGTATATACTGTATTCGATTTGTCTCGGGACTTCTCTTTTCCCGTTTAGTATTCAACGCGTCGGGCACTTTCGATCACGACTCGGTCGCACGTCTCTGACTCCCGTGGCAGCAGGCAATGTTTCTCGCGTTTATCCACGATATTTTAAGCCTAGATTGGTTACCCTATGAGGGAAACCCCACGGAGAGTCGTTTTTTAAAATTATAATTGCGTGGCTTACCGAAAGAATTCAAAAAATTTGACTGTTGATTGGAGTGTCTAAAATTTTTTAGTAGTTTTGAGAACAACATGGGGTAAACTTCCCAGTAGATGGCCGGTTGTTTGTTAGCAATTGAAAAAAAAATTGATCGAACAATAATCGCCATTCAGGGGTTAAAAATCAGAACATTTAGTGAAAATTCAAAGCAACAATTCACATGTCAACATTTTTTTGCGCAATTTCCTATCCAAAAGTAGCTCGTCCATGTATTGGGCAGTGACCATCTACTGGGTAGCTTACCCTATTTTCCAAAATTCCTAAAGGAAACAAATTATTTCGGACAAATGAATTATTTCTGTAGCGAAGTGCTAAAACGCTTTAAGTCGATTCACCTTCCAGTTGAGTTTTTCAGGAATATTTCCGAATCTAAGGGGGATGGCGAAATTTTCATAATTACATTTGTTGCAGCACCCAATCGGGTCTACAAAAAAGGTTATAATAACGCTTTTGCTATCTCCTCTAGATTCAGAGATATTCATAAATAAAATAAAGATTTTTCGGGAGCAAAATACGTATGGGAGTATCGAATAACGAAAGAGTAGTGCTAGAAATGACATTTCTTGCGTGTCCAGAGAATGCAATTTTTTTTCAACTACTAAATTCATTTTTGCGACAAAAATTTTCATTCCGGCGCACTCTCTGCATGTTTGGCACGAAAAATTCTTTTTTGATCATTTTCAAGAAACTATTTTCTTGGCACAAGTAAGACTTGCTTGAGAACTTTGTCGTTTTTCTCTTAGTGCATGTTGAGTGAAATTGCCCATGACGCGACGTTGCCGGAAACTCGCTAAACGCGCCCGGGTAGTGCAGAGTGAATTCGGCAACGCTAAAGCCTAAATACACGCCGGGGAATCCCCGCGGCGGTGACCAAGTCGCAGGAGCGCGTTGGGTGACCAGACTAGAGTTAATTAAACTCGATTTTGTTGGTGATTGCAGGCCGAGCCAGTTGACTCTGTGAACGAGTTGGAGGAGGAGGGAGACGTCGATGAGCAGCAGAGACAGACTGGCGAGTACTACATTGCTCTACCCGACGGGCGTCTACAACGGGTTCAGTACATGAGCAGTCAGGACATTGCGGCGATGAAGTACTTCGCCCAGATCCAAGCGGAGAATGTCGAGCCACTGAGAGGAGCAGTCTATGCATATCAGCCACTTCGCAAACTCGAGTTTGCACCAGCCCGACTTCAAGTTGCGGTTAATGAACCGGCAGCCACTCCTGTTGTACAAATTAGAGAATCGAGTGGTAGGAATCAGAAAATTACGGCCAAAGCTCCCGCCAAGTTGGAGGTCCAACCACTTGCTGCTGAACTTCCTGCGCCTATTGTTGCACCGGCCTACAACAGCTACAGCGCTAACTATCAAGTCCCTGAGAAGCGATTCCTGGTTACTTTCTAGAATTGTCAATTGTACATAACTGACTCGAGATAATAAATCCTGATGGTCGCATCAGTCTGATGGCTCCTAGCATAATATCAAGTTTCTGAGTTATTTCTTTACCCGCGTTATTGGATTTCGAGTTATGCCAAGTCGAATTGCGAAATACGGAGAGGCGTTTAGGGTGAAGGGGAAGTAAGATCGCAGCTACTAGCAGACACGCTCGCCCACCGCAAAATTCCAGAAATTTAATATCGAGCTCAAACTGCTTTGGCGTGCGCCATCGTCTGTTTCGTAAGTTTAATCTTTCTGTCTCTGTTGGATTTCTCGTGATACGATTTCGGGAGGTCCTCATTTTTGGCCAATTTGGGACATCCTCATTGGATCGGAGGAGAACGACAAAGTGTGCTGAACACTGTTTTGGTTCTCGTCTGCTGATTTTTTAAAATAAAATTGAAGTTTTCACTGCATCTCAAGTTATTTTCTATTTTATTCAAGTCTAGCATCATCTTACTGCATAACATCAAGAAGATTGAATGAAACAGAATGTCATTGCAATTCAGTAGCGAAGTGGTAAAACGGTACAAGTCAATTTTGACTATTGACTAGTTTTCAATAAATATCTCGGAATCTAAGGGAGATGGCGAATTTTTTGTTCTAGCCTTTTTTGTAGAGCCGATTGAGAGCTACAACCAATGTGATTACGAAAATTTCGCTATCTCCCTTAGATTCGGAAATATTCCTCAAAAACTCAACTGGGAGATCGACTTAACCCGTCGACTTAAACCGTTTTACCACTTCGCTACTGAATTGACCACGTGCACATGAACATTTTCAATCATTCGAGTCAATTGATCAATTATCAATAATGACTTTATGCAGTCAACATCATTATAATGATGTCAGCATCATTAATGGCGTATAAAGCATTTTTATCCTATTTGGAACACCTTCATCGAACTGTTCCAATGATTTGGAAGCTCAAAGGGCTGCGGTCATCGCCACACATCGACCTACATCCTGTCGAAAGGAAGTCTTGAGACTTGGATAATTACTGGTGGTCAGTGTAGGAGACGATGGGACCAATTAAATCACGAACTGGCCGACCAACCCTCGGAAACTATACCCCAAACTTACCAACTCCTTCGAAAGAGTCTTCAAACGGCTCCGCTGGGAAAGTTTAGGACTATAACCCTCAATCGTTACTCTCCCGCGTCTTTTCGCTCCTCCACGAGCCTTAAAGGGGTGCACTCCGGAAAACAAAGTTCTGGTTCGCAGGTATAGAGTCTTTGCCTTATCACCCCAACGGTGTAACAACGTCGCCCTTTGTCGATTATACCTTCGCAGACCATCGAAGTACGGGATATTAATTTTTACGGAAGCTAGATCCTGATACGTATTCTTTCCTCGTCGATTTCATTCTGTGGAATCCGATAAAAGGTCGGTTTTCGCGAGATTAAAAGCCATCTTCCATTATGTTTTTTTGTACGTTAGACTGATAAAAGAGCGCTTACTTTTTTTCTGGGGTATGCCGATGAAATTAATGAATCTGATATAAAAATACTGCTTTGAGGTGAATTACGGTGAATTTTCGATTGATTGAAAATTCAAGAATCTATTTAGCTGAATTTTATTGATTTTCGTGGAATAATTGAACTGAAATGTACAGTTTTAATTCATTTTTCCATTAAATTGTGAATTTTCACTGACGAAATTCCCGGAAATTCCTGTGAAAATTTTACTATTGAATCTATTTATCTGAATTTTCCGGATTTTTATTGATTTTCGACGTTTAATTGAGCTGAAATTAACAGTTTCCATTCATTTTTCCATTAAAATGTCAATTTTCACTGACGAAATTCCCAGAAATTCCAGTCAAAATGTCACTAGATAAAGACTAAAAATAAAGAACTTTTAGCAATGTGAAGCGAAAACTATGTTTATATTATTATGAATAGAATAGGAGTGAACAAAAGAGTATAAAACAACAATTAATTTCATGAAAATAGATTTTTTCTTGACGTCACAGCGAAATTGATGAATCTACTATAAAAATACTGCTCTGAGGTCAGTTTCTCCGATTCTGACTAATTTTCATGGAATAATTGAGCTAAAATTTCCAGTTTTCATTAATTTTCCACCAAACAATAAATACGCATGACGAAATTCCTCTAAATTCCTGCGGATAGGTAACACTCGATAAAAATAAAAAAATAAAAAATGAGAAACTTCAAACAATGTGAAGCGAAGCTGCGATTAAATCATCACTAATGCACGAAAAATAAACAAGAGCATGAAACAACAGTCAGTTTCATTCCGAAAAATGATCCTAATTGATTCTTTGAGGTGAAAATACAATGTACAGGTGATCATAATCATCCTGAGGCAATGGGAGTCAACGAGTTGGAAATATAATTCTGAAATCTGAGACTGACTTAATTACTCGCGTGGGTTCAGACAACACAATGGGGGTGAGGAAAGCAGCCTCTGATTTCCAAGAGGGCAAGGAAAAGACGCTCGTCCACGGTGTGACATCTGGCGCAGATCGCGGTCTGAAAGTCAATCTGGCCGAGTCATCCAACGAGACTGGCGGAAAGGGTGGACTTGGGGGAATGTGAGTTTTGCAAGGGTGCCGATGTACCTTCCCACACTACCTTTTTCTCCCTCCTCCCATTCAAACTGGAAGCTTGAACTCCTGTTGTTTTCCCGTCGTTTGTTTCCGACGGAGAGATTAAGAAAGTATACGCGATATCCCGCTGCGAGACTTGTGGGAACTGCGAGTTGGGGGGGGGGAGGAGGGGGACAAATGCGTTCGGAATTTTAGTGAGAATTGTTGCTTGACTATCATTAGGGAATGCGTTGTTATCAGGAGGACCTGATAGCGAGGGAAAATATTGTTTTAGAACAATGAGGGGGACTTCACTGTTAAAGATTTGGAAATTTTCATCGTGTAATGGCTTTATTAGGAACGATTCGTACGAATTTATACGGAGAAAATTACTTGGTGAATTTTTCTATTTTGCATTTTTTCTTATTTACGCTTTCTCAACCCTTCTATGGGGTTAGAAGCAAAAGAAATACATGGTGAATACGATATTTTGCAATACATAAATGAATTCAGTTTTCACTTGAATGATAATGTCATTTTTTAAAAAAATCAGGAAAATTCACGCAAATATATTTTTTAGTTTTCAATTTAACGAAAAATCAACGTAATTGGACACTGAATATTCATGTTCTGCTTAGCAATTCTAGTAATATGAGCAATGCTCGTCTTCCTGCTGCTTAAAAGTATCGAATTCCATTCAATTTTCCATGACATTTGAAATTTCATCATTTGTTTTCCCCAGAATTCAACGCACCCCCCNCAGCGTGACCGATTCCTCAAAGCATCAATTTTCTACGAAATTTGAAATTTCATTAATTGTTTTCCCCACACGGAAAAAAATTTCTAGTAAAATTTACCCTACCGTATAGTAATCGTGTTGTATACTGGCTCTGAAGGAATTTTTACCCTTACATTGTAGTAAAAAGTGCTATGAGTCTAGTAAAAATCACAATATTTTTGTGGAATTTTTACCCAAAATAGTAAAAATCACAATATTTTTGTAAAAAAAAACCCGTATTTTTCATTTTATTATTTTTTATTTTTATTTTTATTTTTATTTTTTATTTTTATTATTTTTATTATTTATTTTATTTTTATTCTTTTTTTTATTTTTAAAACCTCCGTATTTTTGTAAAAATCACAATATTTTTGTGTAATTTTTACTAGACTCATCGCATTTTTTACGACAATGTCAGGGTAAAAATTCCCTAAGAACCAGTATACAACACGATTACCATACGGTAGGGCAAAATTTACAAAAAATTTTATCCATACAGAATTCAATCAAAAATCGCTTGAAATATCATTTATCCCAAACGTTTGTTTCTTTTCATTACAACTCGAGTAATTATTGAATCAATGTATTGAAAAATCTCCTATTAACTTTCTCCGTTGACCCTCCCACACTGATAGAATGATTCATTTATTCCAAACGAGATTCGTTAACGATTAACGAATGGTAGAGTTGAATATGACCAAATGAAAATTCATTGATAGTTAACGAATGGTTCACTCGAATGGCGAAAGTCAAGTTAAACAAGCCCCCTCAAATATACATTCGTTAACTATTAACGAATGAGCATTTGGTGGGACCGAATAGACTCTAACCTCCAACCAAAATCCATTCGTTAACAATAACTAATCCGTTCTATCAGTGCGGACCGAATTTCCCACCGTGAGATTCACCAAACATTAAAAAATGTTGAAACCTCCTCAACTTGACTCTCCGGAGTTCCGTCTCCCCTCGCTCCATGTGAATCGCGCACCACGCGCTTCACTCTCCACCTTCATTATTAAAAAATGCGGATTTGATTACGAATCGACACGAGGGTTCTGCAGTCTATTAATCGCAAGCCTATAGAGTGACACAAAAGCAATGCGGAAGGGACTCACGCGCATTGTGCACGGTACAACCGGGAGGCTTTCATCCTCTCCTCTTCCTTCGAGCGTTTATTGACGCAATCGCCCAGTTGACGGGCTCAACGTATAAATGCCCCGGATATCATTCGGCACGAAAAAAAAGCCAAACAAGACAGCGAATATGTGATGCATTCGTGAATGATACCCAGGAGGAGGTCGATGATAATACAAAAGCTAGCTAGCATCGAGCAGGTGGAACGCGTTGTACCAGAGAGTTTCATTGAAAAAAAAAGCCCAGTAGCGAGGCAAACTCCACGGGGGGGTCTTCAATCATCCCCCGGTTATGCGCTCGACGAAAGAGAACGAATCTCTCCTTTCTTCCTCTATTTTCGCTCTTTCGTCTCTGCTCTTTCGTTTTTTTCTTCGTCGAGTTGACTCGGGGATCGATAGGGGGAGAGATTCAAAATATTCCGAGTGAAATCCCGGAAAGAACGTGGTTTTAGAGAGACACCGTGAATTCACATCACGTTCACCAGTTTACCCTGGAGCAAATTCTTGGGCTCTGTCTGACTCTCTCTCTCTCT